CCTATTCTAATTATTAAGGCCTCCAACCCTAAAGCTTGAACCCTCAAGCCAATGTTAGTCCCTAAACCCTAAACCCCAAACCCTAAACCCAAAGCTGAGGTTTCAGATGTCTGGTCTTGGGTTCAGGGGCTTGGGGCTTTGGGTTCAGCGTGTCGGGTTTAGGATTCAATATGGGGGTCAAGGGTTTAGGATTCAATATAGGGCTTAGGGTTCAGGAGTCAATATAGGGTTTGGGGTCTACGCTTCAATACTTATGGGGCTTAGGGTTCAGGATTCAATATAGGGTTTAGGGTCTAAGCTTCAATAATTATGGGGCTTAGGGTTTAAAATTCAATATAGGGCTTCGGGTTTAGGACTCAACAGAGGGTTTAAGGCCTAGGCTTCAACATACGGTTCAGGGCTTAAGGCCTAGCGTTTAGGGTTGCAACTTTCCGGTGGAAGTTTCCGAAAATAAGGGGGGCCTTACTTTGCAGCCCTTATAATAAGGATTCTACTATCTAAACCCTAAACCCTAAACCCTAAACCCTAAACCCTAAACCCTAAACCCTAAACCCTAAACCCTAAACCCTAAACCCTACTATATTAGGGTCCCCTATTTTCGGAAAGCCCCAGGTGTCCGGAAAAAAAAACCTGCGCACTCACTTGGTCGGGCGCAGGCCGGAAACACTGCCCCAAGGGATCCTAGAGGGTTTAGGGTTTAGGGTTTAGGGTTTAGGGTTTAGGGTTTAGGGTTTAGTTAGGGTCTGTCGCTGCCCCCTTCAGTGGCGCTAGGAATGGGTTTCTCATAGCACAACACACCTTTATCAGGGGCTATGCTATGTCCCATCTCAAAGATTGCCCTAAACCCTAAACCCTAAACCTGCCCAAAACGACGGAGCATTCATAGCAGGGAGGGGGGTTGCTATCGTCAAAAGTCCTAAACCCAGGGTCGAGGGCCTTGTCGGGCTATTTATTCAGATAGCAAAAACAAGAAACCCTTCCTCTTCTTGTTAAAATCCAGCCATGATAACTCAGCACAGGCTTCTTACCAAGAGCCCTAAACAACCCCGGCAAAACCCTCAAAAACACATCTTACACAAACGCCCAAACCCAAAACCGCCCTGGTTCATCGCCACCTCGTTGCGGCGAATGAGCTGCGCCCCCAGGATGTCGCGCTCTCCGACGACACCCTCGAGCTCCTCTCGGGTGGTGTTGTCAATAGAGGCTTGTACCCTAAACCCTAAATCCTAAACCCTGAATCCTAAACCCTTTTTCCTAAATCCGAAACCGTAAACCCTAAATCCTAAACCCTAAACCCTAAATCCTAAACCCTGAATCCTAAACCGTAAACCCTAAATCCTAAACCCCAAACCCTAAATCCTAAACCCCAAACCCCAATAATTCTCTGGTGTTGTAGGGTTGTTGGTAGGAATATCGGGTCTTCAACACAACCAGACTGGGGCTCAAGGGTGCCAGGTTCAGGTCTGAAAGTTTAGGGGCTTAGGCGGTTTAGAGTTTAGGGTTTAGGGTTTAGGGTTCAGGGTTTAGGGTTTGGGGTTTGGGGTTAAGGGTTTAAGGTTTAGGGTTTAGAGTTTTGGGTCTTTCAGAATTATGCCTTGGGGTTGTATGTAGGGCTTTTAGATTCTAGGGTTTCCGGCTGCGGGCCGTATATTTGGGCTTAGGTGTTCAGGGTGCATGGCTTCAGAGAGGTAGGGTTTGGGTTGGAGGTGTTGGCGTTCGGGGTCAAGAGTTAAGGCCTTCGGGATTGAGGATTTCCTGGCTGAAGGGTTCGGGGATGTAAGATAGAAGCCTCAACAATTAATACTCCAATATGATCCCTCGGGCTCCTTCTTGTATCCATTCATAGTACAATGTACCCCACAAGCCTATTCTAATTATAAAGGCCCCTAAACCCTTAGCCCTTATAGTAACCCTTATAGAACCCTTTAAGGAACCCTTTAAGGAACCCTTTAAGGAACCCTTTAAGGACCCGTTTCTTTATGAAAGAAGGTTTCGGGTTCAGGCCTCGTAGAGATGCCCCGAAAATCCTAAAAGCCCTGAACCCCCAAGCCTGGCGCAATCTGGCGAAACCGCTTCGGGTTTAGGGCTTAGGGAAAGTTTAGGGTTTAGGGTTTAGGGAAAGTTTAGGGGTTAGGGTTTAGGGAAAGTTTAGGGTTTAGGGTTTAGGGAAAGTTTCGGGTTTAGGGCTTAGGGAAAGTTTAGGGGTTAGGGTTTAGGGAAAGTTTAGGGTTTAGGGTTTAGGGAAAGTTTAGGGTTTAGGGTTTAGGGAAAGTTTCGGGTTTAGGGTTTAGGGAAAGTTTAGNNTTCTATATGAACTGTAATAAGGAGACGAAAAGCGAAACTGTTTGCAGGGGTTCAGAAGTCCGCCAAGGACGTCGCGTGGTCGTACGGCACTGGACGTGGCCATCGACTCAGACGACGGTGGCTCCCACCGCATGGCACCTTGGAGATGGTCTAACCCAGACCTTCCAAGATCCCATTCAGAAAAGGGGAATGTTATTAGGGTTTAGGGTCTAGGGGAATGTAACTTAAATGATGGTAGGACTCGAATATTTTGGAAGATCTGGGCAACCGTGCTATCATCAGGATGTCCATAAAGTAAGCCATAGTTTATGCCAGCGTAAACCCAAACAGGTCATGCGCACCTCGCACCCCAAGCCCTATATGTAAGGCAAGTGTGGTCTACGGTTTGTTTGCAGCGTCTTCTTTGGTTTTGTGTAGGGGTTTGTGGGGTTTCATATCACAGGGGGTTGAGGGTGTAGGGTTTAAAGGTTCTGGAATCAGAAACTTGGAGCGTTTGCACCGCCGGATCCTCCCAGAGAGCCCAATACCCCT